GCTATAGGGCGCGTGCGCTCGCCGGACAGACAGAGAGAGACATAGAGACAGAAAGCGAGAAATCACCCCCCAGGGGGGATGGTCACGCCGCAATCCCTTCTCCTCCATTCTCCTCTCGGGATCATGGGCACGCACGCACACGCGCCCGGCGTGAGTTTTAAGCCACCGGGTCCGGGACGCAAACCGCGGTCGACTACGTGGGAGTCCAGCGACATAGCCATTACGCTAACTGCTGGTTCCCATAGCTTTTTGTAATGACTTCTGTATCTGTTGGTTCGGAATCTTCTTATTCCTCATACTATTTTTTTTTTTCTCCTTTGCCAGTTATAATAGCCTGACAGATATCTATGGGTCATCTTATTAATTTTATCTACAAGTTATTTGTTACTTAACAACTGCACACTCAGATCTTTTTTCAACTGAAGAATGTGCTTTTTTAGTATCTCTCTTTTTTCTAGTTTTTAACATGGTAAACAATGCTGCAATAAACACCATTATACACTTATGTTAGGTGTACATGGAAGGGTTTGTTCATTTAAGGTTGTGTATTTATTTCTCCCAAGAGCAAGAAAGGCACACAGAGAGGGTCCAGAAGCTGCAATCCACCATCAGACCCAATGAGACCTTGCTCATGGATAAGTGCATGCGTGGCATACTCAGGGGACCCTCCAGAGACTTTCCTTGAGATTGCCTTGCAGAGCATGTTTTACCACTGTGCCACTGTCTAGTCCCAGATACATATGTTTTTTATTACAACAAGACAGAGTCCTCAAAATTGTCTTATTAGTTCAAAAGTATGCATATTTTAGATTTCAATACATATTCCAGGTTATTCCCCCTACCATGTAGAAACTCAAACTGAAATGAACTAAGTCTGAGAATGATTTCTTTTCATTAGTTATGAATGTTACCATCTTTTAAATTCTGTGGTAATCTAATGGGTAAAAAAAAAACGAGTTGTTATTCTTCCTTTAATTTGTATTCACTATATTTTTTGTGGGGTAAAAACCACTTGAGATTTATCGTCTCAACAATTTTTTAAATGTGCAATGCAATCTTGTTATGTCTAGACACAAGGTTGTACAGCAGGTACCTTGACAACTATGTTTTGATAAATGATGCTATTTGATCATGTTTCTGTTAAGTAGTTCTACCTTCCTCCTTAGAAAGCATCACTGCCCATTCTCTTTACTCCATAATTTTCTTCCCGCATTGATTTTCTTTTTCCATGAATGAGAGAGAGACAGTACCCCCAAAAGGGTCTTGACACTGTGACCCACGTCCCACCTCAGCCAGTCCTGGATTAGGGACACACTTTTGTCCACTGTACTCAGGGTCTCCAGACACAAACCTGGAACCTTCCCACATGGGGCAACCTCACAGAGCATCACGTTTTTAATGCTGTACCACTGTCTATCCTCTGTCTCATTATTTTTTAATTAGTTGCTTTCTCTCTCTTTACAATCTCAGAAAATTTTCAGGTTCATTCTCAACATGATTGAATGTATTTTCCTGTGTGTCTATTATAGTCTTTACTATGTTTAATGTTTCTTTTCATCCCATTACTGAACTGAACTCTTAGTTTCCTTGTAATCCTTCCATACCTCACTTATATTCCTTTTAAATTTTCCAATTGTTAGCCTTTACATGAGAAGCCATAGTCCTTGGTTCTATAAAGGATGCACATAACTGCTTCCTAGAATTTATTTACATGTCCTGGAGGAAGTGTTTTCCACAAGTTTCAAAAAATGGTGTCCCCTTTTCCTTGTTCTGCTGTACTATGTTTTTCTTTTCTTTCTTTCTTTCTTTCTTTCTTTCTTTCTTTCTTTCTTTCTTTCTTTCTTTCTTTCTTTCTTTCTTCTTTTTTTTTTTTTTTTGAGACATTTTTGCTATAGGGCGTGTGCACTTAATGGAAAGACAGAGAGACAGAAGGTGAGAAATCACCTCCCAGAGGGGATGGCCATGCTACAATCTCTTCTCCTCCATTCTCTTCTTGGGATTTTGGGCACGCACGCACATGTGCCCAGCATGAGTTTCAAGCTGCCAGGTCTGGTACTCAAACCATAGCCGACTATGAAGGAGTCCAGCAACATAACATTACACCATCTGCTAATCCTTGTACTGTATATTTCTTAGGCCTCACTGGTTGTTTTCATTGTGGTCACTCAGACCCGGATTTCTTCTACAGACAGGACACATAGCTTGCCTGGGTCTTGTTCAACCATTATTTGAAACCTTTTTCTTATACAGAGCTGGGGAGCAAGATGACATGACAACTAATGACCCAGTTTCAGGGCCAGCAGCTACCATCTTACACAGCCCTGAGGAAGGGGTTTGGGTCTTCTCTCCATACCCTAGCCCAGTTTTCTAATCCTCTAAGCCACTGAAAGACAAGAGCTTCAAGTCCGAGAGTCTCCGAGGCTTCCCTCTGCCCTGCCTCTACCCCAGGTCCAGGGGATTGCTTTTCAGTCCTGGTGCCCAGAGCTTTAAGAGACTGTCAGGTGGTTGCCAAGGGGCCCAGCAGCAGACTGTGCCTCTAGGGGCCTTACTTGGCAATATTCATCACTCATGCTGGTCCTCAGCCTTGCAAATGTATATTTATACTGATTTTATCAGCATGCTCTCAAGGGATCCATCTCTCAGGAGAGGACTCATATTGACAAAGCTTATGAGACTGATATTGAACACCAGATGCTGGACTATTCATGCACCAGGAGAAATAATTGATGTGGAGGCTTGAAGTCCACATCATCAGTGCCTTTTCTTTCTTTCTTTCCTTTCCTTTCCTTTCTTTCTTTCTTTTTCTTTCTTTTTTTTTTTTTTCTGAGAGTTTTTTTCTATGGGGTGTGTGATTTTAAAGCCACTAGGTCCAGTACTCAAACTGTGGTCAGCCACGTGGGAGTCCAGCACTTCAACCACCACACCACCTGCTGGCCCAGGAGATTTTCAACTATAGAAACTCACCTTAGGATCTGTTCCTTGCTACCTCTTGGTCTGTTGTTTTCTGTGAGTGGTGTGTGTGTGTGTGTGTGTGTGTGTGTGTTACAAAATGGATTTATTTCCTGGGGGTGTAGTTGGTGGAGAGCAGCCCCTTGGAGAATTGATAAATCAACACCTAGCCATCAGACAGACAGCTACTCAGGTTTCTGGTTGTTACAAACTGAGTGTCGGGGCTGGGAACAGACCGTGGAAGAAAGCCAAATGCCTTCCTGTCATCTCTCAGATAAGCAAGACTGTCATCTCCCCAGACTTAGGTCGACCTGCACTGGGCTGCCATCTTGAAGCAAGGCCCCATCTCCTATAGTCCTTGAGCCCAGTCTGCCAGTGGTGCTTGGAAGCCTCCATATCTTAGCACAAAAATTTCCAAAGCGGATGTGGAGTGAGAGAGAAACCAGGGCAAGAGCAACACATTGCATTTGTCTATAGTGTTGATAAAATTTGAGGTTTGAACAATTTATATGTAAGCTTAGACATTCTGTGTACAGGGACTAGCAGGTGGTGTGATGGTTGAGGCACTGGACTCCCACATGGCTGAGAGTGGTTTGACTCCTTAACCTAGCGGCTTGCTTTCTCACTTTCCCTCTCTTTCTCTCTCTCTGTCTTTCTCTCTGTCTCTCTCTCTCTCTGGTAGTACATGTGCCCTATAACAAATTAAAACCTAGTAGCAACAATAATAATAATTAATAAAAATTAATTAATTAAAAAGGAAATTCTGTGTATAATATCTGGTTTGGGAATTGTGATGATTAGTTTGGGTTGTCAACTTGACTGGACTAAGGAATATCTAGAAACCCAACAAAGCATTATTCTGGGTGTGTCTGTGGGGGTGTTTTCAGAAGAGATTAACATGTGAGTGAGTAGATTATATGTGGAAGATCTGCCCTCAGTGTAGTGGGCACCATTCAATCATCAAAGGACTTGGAAAGGACAAATACAGAAGATGGATGAGTCTCTTTGGATAGAGAGTAAGATGGGCTTTCATCCTTGGACTGTGTGTCATCCACTTCCCTGCCTCTGAGGCCTTGGGACTTGACCTGTATAGTGCTACTAGAATCCCAGGATCTCCAGCTTACAAGTGGCCTGTTGCTGGACTTCTAGCTGTCATAATGTGTGAACAGATTCCTCCAATAAATCCCTCCTTACATGTCTATACAGATCCCACTAGTTCTGTCTTCCTGGAGAATCCTGACTCATATAGGGATCAAACTGGGGCTAGCAACCTTTGACAACCTTTTGCATCTTAAAATAAAGATCAAAGGGAAGAGAGAAATTTCACAAGTCTGATGGCCTCATTTATAGACAACCAGTACCTACATCTGATAGGAATTGTTGCTAAACTCTAATGCAAGTCGACCTCACACTGACATGTCAGCCTCAATATGGCCTCTCCATCTTGCCACCCCCAACATGCTCTTTCATGCTCCAAGTATCAGACAAATGACCTGAGGGTGTTGCCTGTTTTCTTTCAGAAATGGGTCAAGTTTAAAAGAGACTTTCATAATTTCAAGACTCAGTGTATCCCCTGGGAAATGAAGATCAAGGATATTGAAAGTGAGTATTTTGGCATTCGTCTTTTAGCTGGCTTACAGAAGAGTTTTCCAAAAGGCTCAGATTGTCTCCCCGACTTTCTGGTTAGATTATTTCATAGATTCTGTTGTATAGGGGAGGAGGAAACACGGGTTTGGAGTAGTCAGACCAAGAATTAAATTCTCCACTTTCTGATTGTGAGAATTTAGGCAGATTGGTTAATCTCACAGAGCCTCTGGGTGTTTATCTAGAAAAATAAAATGAAGATCAGATCAGAATGTTTGTAGCACAAGCTGATGTAAAACTGGACTCCATCACAGACATAAACTGCTCAGTAGTGTCAGTTTCCTCCTTCTGCAACACTTAAATCCATTGTCTTTTCTCTGCAGGTCACTTTGGTTCTTCGGTGGCATCCTATTTCATCTTTCTCCGATGGATGTATGGGGTTAATCTTGTCCTTTTTGGCTTAATATTTGGTCTAGTCATAATCCCAGAGGTAAGATAAGAATTTCCTATATCTTTTTGGATAGTGTTGAGGCTTATCATAATCATCATAAGGAAAGTTATGGCATATTTTTCTATGCAAAAATGCATCATGACTTTTTCAGTGACCCAATATATTAACAAAGTACTCTCTCTTTTATAAAGGATCATTCTTTTCTTTTTTTCCTTTTCTTTCTTCTCTCCTCTCCACTTCTTTTCTTTTCTCTTTTCTTCTTTTATTTTCTTCTCTTTCCTTTTCTGTTTTTTCTTTTCTTTTCTTTTTTTGAGAGGTTTTCGCTATAGGGCGCGTGCGCTCGCCGGACAGAGAGAGACAGAGAGACAGAAAGCGAGAAATCATCCCCCAGAGGGGATGGCCACACCGCAACCCCTTCTCCTCCATTCTCCTCTCGGGATCTTGGGCATGCACGCACACATGCCCGGTGTGAGTTTTAAGCCACCAGGTCCGGGACGTGAACCACAGTCGACTATGTGGGAGTCCAGCGACATAGCCATTACGCTAACTGCTGGTTCCCTCTTTTCTTTTCTTGACCAGAGAGAGACACACAGAGAGAGAGAGGGAAAGTGAGAAAGCAAGTGACCAGGTCTAGGACGCAAACCATGGTCGGCCATGTGGGAGTGTCCAGCACCTTAACCACTACACCACTTGCTGGTCCCAATCGGGCATGTTTTTCAAACCGCTGGGTTCAGGACTTGAACCACAGTATTGGATATGTGGGATCCAGCTAACTTAACCACCATGCTGCAGGATGACCCTATGTTAAGCAGAATGCGTTTTTTGTTTTGTTTTGTTTTGAAGAGAGATTTTTTTTTGCCATGGGGTGGGTACGTGTGCTCGCCAGAGAGACAGAGGTAGAAAGTGAGAAATCACCCCAGGGTGGATGTCCATGCCACAATCCCTTCTTGATTCTCCTCCTGAGATTTTGGGCATGCATGTGCATGCATATGCACCCTGCATGAGTTTTAAGCCACCAGGTCCAGGACTCAAACCGTAGTGGACTACATGGGAGTCCAGCAACATAACCATTATATCATCTGCTGGTCCTTGTTAGGCAGAATTCTTTTCTCTTGTTTTTTGACCAGGTCTTATCTCCTGTTATAACTGGTTATTTTTGACTGAGTGCTAAGCATTGTCTATGAAAAAATATTGAGATTTACTTATTTTTTTAACTGAAGAACTAACTAGAATTACCTCAATCCAGTCAGCAATTTAGGTGATTCAAGATCAAAACTGGGCTTTAAAAAATAATTTTTTGAGAGGTTTTTGCTATAGGGCGCGTGCGCTCGCCAAACAGACAGAGAGAGACAGAGAGACAGAAAGCGAGAAATCACCCCCCGGGGGGGATGGCCACGCCGCAATCCCTTCTCCATTCTCCTCTCGGGATCTTGGGCACGCACGCACACGTGCCTGGCGTGAGTTTAAGCCACCAGGTCTGGGATTCGAACCGCGGTCGACTACGTGGGAGTCCAACGACATAGCCATTACACTAACTGCTAGTCCCTAAAAAATAATTAAAAAAAAAATTTTTAAGGGTAAAGTAAGAGAAGGGTCAGCAGATGGAGTTGAGGTTTAGGAGACTGGATTCCACTTAGCTGACTGCATGGTTTGAATCCAAGATCTGGCAGTTTGAAAAACATACCAGTTGGGAACCAGCAGTTAGCGTAATGGCTATGTCGCTGGACTCCCATATAGTTGACCGCGGTTCGAGTCCTGGACCCGGTGGCTTAAACTCACTCTGGGTGCATGTGCGTGCATGCCCAAGATCCTGAGAGGAGAATGGAGGAGAAGGGATTGCGGTGTGGCCATCCTCCCTGGGGGGTGATTTCTCGCTTTCTGTCTCTCTGTCTCTCTCTGTCTGTCTGGTGAGTGCACATGCCCTGTAGCAAAAAAAATTTTTTTTAAATTAAAAAAATAAAAAAACTCTCAAAAACAAACAAACAAAAAAAGCCATACCAGGTGCATGTGTGCCTAAAATCCAGAGAGGAAGACGGAAGAGAAGGAATTGCAGCATGGTCACCCCCCACGGAGTGCTTTCTCGCGTTCCCTCTCTTTCTCTGTCTCTATCTCTGTTGAGTGTGTGCACCCTGTAACAAAGAGAGAAAAAAGGCTGGGCTTAAATCCCTGAGAGAATTAGTCTATATATTTTTTCAATTTCACAAAGAGTAGCATACCCAGGCCTTAAAGAAAAACCCGGGTTTTTACCAGATATAGTCCCATTTATCTTCACGCTTAGCCCTCTGACTTTTCCAAAATCTATGCAATTTTTAAAAATTTCTTAGCTGCTGTTTTTTAAATCAGCAGTGACTCATGGTGAATAGCTGTGCCACATGCCAGACTCACTGTTCCAGAATTCTTTATCTCTTAGATCTTGGGACCAGCAGTTAGCATAATGGCTATGTCGCTGGACTCCCACGTAGTCGACCGCGGTTCAAGTCCTGGACCCAGTGGCTTAAACTCACACCGAGCGCATGTGCGCACATGCCCAAGATACCACGAGGATAACGGAGGAGAAGGGATTGCGGTGTGGCCATACCCCCTGGAGGGTGATTTCTCGCTTTCTATCTCTCTGTCTCTCTCTGTCTGTCTGGCGAGTGCACGCGCCCTATAGCAAAAACCTCTAAAAAAAAAAAATCTTAGATCTTGGCTACACAAGTCATTGTTGTCCACTTTTCTAGTTGTTCTCAGTGAGAGAACTTCATACAAAGCAACTTACTCTGCCTTTCTTGGCAGCATTTTTTTTTATTTAACTTTATTTTATTTTATTTTATTTATTTATTTTCATTCTACCAGAGAGGTACAGAGTGAGAGAGAGAGGGAAAGTGAGAAATCAAGTCACCAGGTCCAAGACTTGAACCTCACCTGGCCATGTGGGAGTCCAGAGCCCTTAACCACCACGCCGCCTACCAACCCCAGGAGCATTGTTTTATTTGTTTGTTTTGGGGGTTTTTTGAGAGGTTTTTGCTATAGGGCATGTGCCCTCGCCAGAAAGACAGAGACAGAGAGACAGAAAGCGAGAAATCAGCCCTCAGAGGGGATGGCCACACTGCAATCCCTTCTCCTCCATTCTTCTTTCGGGACTTTGGGCACGCACGCACACGCGCCCGGTGTGAGTTTAAGCCACTGGGTCCAGGACTTGAACTGCGGTTGACTACACGTGAGTCCAGCAACATAGCCATTACGCCAACTCTGGTCCCGCTGGCAGCATTGTTTTTAAGAGTAAAATTTAGAAACAACCCAAATGTATATGAAGAGTAGAGTGTGTAAATAGTAGGTTGTCTTAAAAGTCATGATTTATTTTACTGTGTTTTTCTATGCAAAAATGCATCATGATTTTTTCAGCAACCCAATATACTGTAGTATGTCCATACAATGTAACCTTACATAGCAGTGAAAATAAGTGAACTGTAGCTACACATGTCAATATCAATGGATCTCAAAAGTGTAATGTTGTGGGCCAGCAGGTGGCGTGGAGGATAAGGCGCAGGATCTCACATGACCAACTCCATGGTTCAAGTCCTGGACTCGGCAGCTTTAGAATCACACCAGGTGTGTGTGCCCAAAAATCGTAAGAGGAGAGTAGAGGATAAAGGATTGTAGCATGGCCATCCCCCTTGGGGGGTAATTTCTCACATTCTCTCTCTCTCTCTGGCAAGCACACGCACCCTATGGCAAAAACAAAACAAAGTATAGCATGAAAAAAACAATTCACAGGAGATTGCTTACATGTGATGCTACATATATTCAAACAGGCAAAGCTAAACAGTAAGTAAAGAAAATTAAACGGGATGATGATTATAAAATGTAATACATGTTGGATGTTGGTTGTGTCTTAGGGTGGAAGTGCAGTATGGTTCAAAAGGCGCTTATCCAGGGTGTGGTAATTTTCTGTTTCTTAAATAGGTAGTAGATACACATAGTTCATTTCATTTTCATTGTAATCAACTACATGTGTGTGTTATCTAGATGCTGTTTTGTACACAACATATTTTCAATAAGAACCTAAATTTAAAGCACACGAAAAGAAAAAGAAAATTATCTAAAAGTGTTGAGCCTATACATTAAAAAATAGGAATGGTGTTACAGTCAACAGTAACATATCAGAGCCTGTGCTACTAAAACCAAGAACAAGGTGGTACGTCCCTATCCTCACAACTTTGCAAAATTATTTTGAAGTTCCCACTTTGTGCAAAAAGTCAGAAAAAATTAAACATTCATACATTTTTAAAAGAATTATTTATTTCATTGTTATTTATTTATTTTAAATGTGACCAGAAGGGGACAGAGAGAGAGAAAAAGGGAAGGTGAAGAAAGCAAGTCACCAAGTCTGAGACTCGGACCATGGTCAGCCATGTGGGCATCCAGCGCCTTAACCACCATGCCACCTGCCAGCCCCAAAACCTCTTATACATTTGATACTAAAAAACCACAAAAATGCTTTAGTTGGTAGGTGATATGATTTTAGACCCCAAAAAATCCTAATGACTCTGCCAAAAATTACTAGAATTTAGTAAAAGAATATAGTGAGATGGCTGGAGTCACTTTATTTTACTTATTTATTTATTTTTTAAGAAATATTTTTACCATAGAGTATGTGCACTTGCCAGAGAGACAGAAAGGAAAAAGTCACCCCCCAGGGGGTTGGCCACACCACAATCCCTTCTCCTCCATTCTCCTCTCGGGATCTTGGGCACGCATGCACGCACACATGCCCAGCATGAGTTTTAAGCTACTGGGTCCGGGAATTGAACTGTGGTCGACTATGTGGGATTCCAATGATGTAACCGTTACACCACCTGCTGATCCCTGGAGTCACTTTAAATAGACAGACATTTGAAACCTTTCTCTATACTGTCACTATCCAGCTCAAAATGGAATTTTCACATTCCAAATAGCAATATGTCTATAAAATAGCTAGTAATAAATTTAGCAAATTAAAAAATAAAAATAATGTTATAGTAAATGGTGACATATTAAAGCCTGTGATAGTAAAACCAAGAATCAGGTGGTCAAAATTAAAAGTTTTCTATGAAGAACGTTATACAGTATTACTGGTCAAAACTGAGACAAAATAGGGGCTGGCAGGTGGTAGTTAAGGAACCCTGCAAAATGTATCCGCCAAATCCCAGGAGGAAACTGGAGGAGAAAGGATTGAGGTGTGTCTATCTACCCTGGAGGGTGATTTCTCACTTTCCTTCTCACTGTCTCTATTTGTCTCCAGCAAGTGCACACACCCTATGACATAAAAAAGAGAGAGAGAGAGAGAGAGAGAGAGAGAGAGAGAGAGGGAGACCAAATAAATGGAAGGATACATTCTTGAAAGGGAAAGCTTTATATTAAAAAGTCAATTCTGGGGACCAGCAGTTGGTGTAATGGCTATGTCACTGGACTCCCATGTAGTTGACCATGTTTCAAGTCCTGGACCAAGTGGCTTGAACTCAACCGGGCGCGTGTGCATGCATGCCCAAGATTCTGAGAGGAGAATGGAGGAGAAGGGATTTTGGCATGGCCATCTTCCCTGGGGGGTGATTTCTCACTTTCTGTCTCTCTGTCTCTCTCTCTGTCTTTCTGGCGAGCACACGTTCCCTATAGCAAAAACCTCTCAAAAAAATTAATTAATTCTGGGGTCAGACAGGTGGTGTGGTAGTTTAGGTGCTGGATTCCCACATGGCTGACTGTGGTTAGAGTCCCAGACCTGGCAGTTTGCTTTCTCACTCTCTCTGTCTCTGTCTCTCTCTGGTCAAATTAAAAATAAATGAATGAATAAATAAAATAAAATAGATCATTCTTTTTTAAAAAGTCAATCCTTTCTGATTAAAATATAAATTCAATACATTTTTTTAAATTTGCTATGGGGGGCTGGCAGGTGGCATGGTGGTTAAGAGTGCTGGATTACCACATGGCCAACTATGGTTCGAGACCTGGGCCTGGCAGCTTGCTTTCTCACTTTCCTTCTCTCTCTCTGTCCCTCTCTGTTCAAATTAGTTAATTAATTAAGTTAAATAAAATAATTCTTTAAAAAATTTGCTATAGAGTGTGTATGTTCACCAGAGACAAAACATTAGAAAGCACCCTCCTTCCCCCACCCATGGAGAATGGCCATGCTGCAATCTCTTCTCATTCTTCTCTCAGAATTTTGGGCCTGGCATGGTCAAATCCCATGTAGTTGACCTCTGTCCAAGTCCCAGACCCAGCAGCTTAAAAAACTCACTGGGCACTGGGACCAGCAGTTGGCGTAATGGCTATGTCACTGGACTCCCATGTAGTCAACCGTGGTTCTAGTCCCAGACCTGGTGGCTTAAACTCATGCTGGGCACGTGTGCACATGTGCCCAAGATTATGAGAGGAGAATGGAGGAGAAGGGTGTGGCCATCCCCCCACCGGGGAGTGATTTTTCGGTTTCTGTCTCTCTGCCTCTTTGATAAACATGTACACCCTACAGCAAAAATATCTCTCTCTAAAAGAGAATGAAAAAAAGAAATTGGTAATAAAATTATATTAAGCTAACTAACCAGACTAAAATATACAGAAAACTCAAAAGGAATTAAGAAGAAATACATTAATACCCAGTAGTTGTTATCTTAGGGTTGCAGAGGTGATGGGTAATTTTTAAAAATGCTGTTGTGTGCTTTTTCTTATTTTCTACGAAGACCATGTGTTAACTTTTTTTTTCCTTTTGCTAGAGGTTCCATTCACTCACCAGAGAAGACAAAAGACAGGGAGAAAAGGAGGAACAGAGAAAGCACCTCCTCTGGAGAATGGTCACACTACAACCCTCCTTCCTTTGGGGGTTTTGGACACACACACACACACACACACACACACACACACACACACGAGTATATTTCTCAAGCTACCAGGTCTAGGGCTCAAACTGTGTAGTTGGCCTTCTGGAATCTGGCTACCTTAACCATCGGGTCATGGAGTCAGCCAGAGTGTGTATTACTTTTAAAATCAGAAAAGTGGTACACGTTACAGAAACCAATGGGTGTGTCTTACTCTGAGAAGGGAAATATTTAACCCAGTTTATGAAAGTCTCTGTGTTTGTATTTCCTTTGCTTACACCCATGTTCTACCCCTACGCAAGGTACTGATGGGCATGCCCTATGGAAGTATCCCCAGAAAGACAGTACCTCGGGCTGAAGAAGAAAAAGCCATGGACTTTTCCGTCCTTTGGGATTTTGAGGTACTTTTGCCAACATACCAATATATTTCCGTTTTGTAATCGTAAGGCCTAAAGATGACTTGGGTAAGTGTGAAGTAGTGCATTTAATTATTGAAATGCAATCAAATACAATCCAGCACTTGGCTAAATGAATTCACAGACCGTATCTCTCAACAGTCTCCCCCAGATCTCTCCTGGTATCTTCTCTCCAGCCTCAGTCTGAGGGATGTGAGCTTCCCATGAGACCCCGGCTCCTTCCTCTGCCAGCTCTTAAGTCACCTCACAAAGTGGCTTTCTCTCTCCAGATCCACACTAAGCCCCCCAGGTCTGTCTCCACTTCAGCCTTTCTCCTCGAATCACATGACATCTTCAACTAAATGTTCAAACTGCTTCTCAGATTCAATATCTATCCAAGCAACAACCGTTTCTCTTCCTCTCCTTTACAGAACCATCATTCAGGCATTCTAGTATGAAATGCTTCTCCCTTTTCCTTACCACCACCTTCTACATTCTAATCAATCTCTAAGTCTGAGCCTACCTACTAAATATTTCTTGAACCTTTTCTTTTTCCTTTAATTTTGCTATAGGGCAGGCACTCATGTGCATGCACAAAGAGAGAGAGAGAGAGAGAGAGAGAAAGTGAGAAATCACCCCCCCCAGGGGATGGCCATGCCGCAGTCTCTTTGCTGGCCCTTTCTTAAACCTTTTAAAACCCAGTTAAGAATGCTGGATTTTATTACATTTGGAAATGAGGATCCAATGAATGTCTGAGAAGAAAAAAAAAAAATCGATGATTATCCAGACTCAGGAAGATCATGTCGTGGACTTTTCTTTTTTTTTGAGATTTTGAGATTTTGAGATACTATGACCAATATCCTAATTCACTTCCATTTTGTGATTGTAAGGCTAAAGATGGCATGGGTACATGTGAAAATTGCATTTAATTATTGAAAAAAAACAGTGCTTTAATCAAATAAGATCCAGCAGTGGGCAAAATGTTTTTCTCCATCCTGTTTACCTCTGCTTATCAGAATCTTCTACCTCTCAGGGACCAGCAATTAGTGTAATGGCTATGTCACTGGACTCCCATGTAGTCAACCGCAGTTCGCGTCCCAGACCTGGTGGCTTAAAACTCTTGCCGGGCACGTGTGCATGCATGCCCAAGATCCCGAGAGGAGAATGGAGGAGAAGGGATTGCGGTGTGACCATCTCACCTGGGGGATGATTTCTTGCTTTCTGTCTCTCTGTCTCTCTCTGTCTGTCTGGTGAGCGCACGCGCCCTATAGCAAAAACCTCTCCAAAAAAAAATAAATAAATAAAAGCATCTTCTACCTCTCTTCTCTTCTTCAGCTTGACTCCTAAAATCTCCATTCCCTCTGCTGCCAAAGTGATCTTTCTAAAATGCAAATCTGGCTATCATTCTCCAACCTCAGACATGCATGGATTTTCATTTCCAAATGCTATAAAAGCCAGTGTTCTTAGCTGGGTTTGCAGAAGAACTGCTCATGACCTGGGTGCTCCCCACCTCTTCAGTTCCATGTCTGTCCAACATCTCACACTTTTAACGTACCAGTGTCATCAAGTTTGGGGGAAGTCCTTGAATGCACCGCCCTTCCTCAGCATCTCCCCGCCTGTGCTCATGCTCCTCTGCTGGAACATCCTTCCCTCCTCTTTGAGTCCATGCCACGCTCCAAGGGGTTCCCGAGGCTCAGAGGCATGACTGGTGCCTCCCACAACAAGCCGTAGCTGCTGCTGTCCTTCCCTCTCAAAGCTAGGCTTGAACCCCCTCAGAAATGCATGAGAGTTAATCCGAGTATTTTTTCCAAGGTAGTCAGGACAAGGATGCCTGACTATATTTACTACTAAGGACTTCCTTTGTCCTTTATTTCGCCCAAGAATCTCTGTTCCTATTTACCAGAAACAAACTGAATTTATTCAACAATAATCCCTTGCTTTATATGTAGCAAAGACATATAAGAAGCCCTAAAAATCTCAGTTAATGTTACACCCCAATAATTATACCCCAAAAGTGAGCTATTTATACCTAAAACCAATTATACCAAAAACAAAAATAAAATAAAAGAAAATTTGAAATTCAAGTTAGACTGTGAGCCTTATTGTGCATAATTTTTTAATAAAGTTTGAAATATTAAAAACCTCCTAGGGGACCAGCAGTTAGCGTAATGACTATGTCTCTGAACTCCCATGTAGTTGACCGCGGTTCAAGTCCCAGACCCAGTGGCTTAAACTCACGCCGGGCACGTGTGCATGCATGCCCAAGATCCCGAGAGGAGAATGGAGGAGAAGGGATTGCGGCGTGGCCATCCCCCCTGGAGGGGGGGGTGATTTCTTGCTTTCTATCTCTCTGTCTCTCTCTGTCTTTCTGGCGAGCGCACGCGCCCTATAGCGAAAACCTCTCAAAAAAAAAAAAAAAAAGCTCCTAAAGTCCCATCTACTTCTGGAGCATTAAATTAAGACTTGAGGAATGGAAAAAATTAATTGGGAGCTATCCAGGCATGCGTTCTTCTGCACAGGCACACACATACCTTGTCCCGAATTTTATCCCAAATGTTTACAACATTCACTTCTCACCCCTACTTTTTCATCCACTCTTTGTAATGGGGAAATGAAGGGAATGAAGAAGAGAAAGAAGAAGAACAAGAACATATCCCTTTGAATTAAAACTCTGGGAGAAATTCTTGGTAGATGGGAGTGTCTGATGACTGCCTGCTCTGCTGTTACTCACCTGGAGCATTGTGATTTGCTTCCTCCAGGGCTACATCAAGTATTCCGCTCTCTTCTATGGCTACTACAACAACCAGAGGACCATCGGGTGGTTGAGGTACAGGCTGCCTATGGCTTACTTTATGGTGGGGATCAGCGTGTTTGGCTACAGCCTGATGATTGTCATTAGGTCGTAAGTATGACTGTCTTGTTTAGACGCTCTGACTTTCACACAAACAGCTCACTCTTCTGGCTCCTACATGCTTACCTTCTTGTGGGGCACTTAGAGAGAAAACAAGGAAACCAATACACAATGCGAATGTGGATTGTAATATATGTTTAAAAAAAAAATAAGTCATTAACCAGGCATTCTGGGAAGCTCTGGGAAATAGGATAGAAACTCCTCTAGATGAGGCTGCGACTGACAAACTTGCTGAAAATCTGAGGCCCAGCATTTTAGACGATGGAAGAGCCTGTGCAAAGGTCCCGAGGCAGCAAATTACCCTGATGTGTTCTCCAAACTGTCAAAAAGCCAGTGCGGTTCGAGGGACCAGCAGTTAGCGTAATGGCTATGTCGCTGGACTCCCATGTAGTCGGCTGCGGCTTGCGTCCCAGACCTGGTGGCTTAAAACTCATGCCAGGAGCGTGTGCGTGCGTGCCCAAGATCCCAAGAGAACGGAGGAGAAGGAATTGCAGTGTGGCCATCCCCCCTGGGGGGTGATTTCTTGCTTTTTGTCTCTCTGTCTCTCTCTGTCTGGCTGGCGAGCACACGTGCCCTATAGCGAAAACCTCTCAATAAATAAATAAATAAATAAAAAGCCAGTGTGGCTCGAGAGAGAACATAGTATTTGGTAAGGTGAAGCTGGAAGTTTGCAAAGGCTATTTCTGCTTTCCTCTAGAATTCAACTTCCTCTGAAACCTCTTTTCCTCTTCTGTAACTACAGCCTGCATGTTAGAACCAAGCCTGGCCTTTACGCAGATATCAACTGTAAACATTTGCTAAATAAATGGAATGGGCTGTGATTAACCTTGGAAGCCACTCTGACCCAACTCTCTCTGTGGTCAGAAATTATCTTCTAACATGTCCATAACTCTTTATGTTTAGAGAGATTTTTGCTATAGGGCATGTTTTCTCGCCAGAGACACAGAGAGAGAAAGTGAGAAATCACCCCCCCCCAGGAGATGGCATGCCACAATCCCTTCTCCTCTCAGGATTTTTGGGCACACACACACACACACACACACACACGCCCCCAGCATGAGATTCAAGCCACCAGATCTGGGACTTAACTGCTGTCGGCCTTGTGGGAGTTGAGCGCCTTAATCACCACGCCACCTGCTGGCCCTGTCGGTGACTCTTAGTTCATATTCTCTGAAGAAAATATTTTGCCTGGACCATGAATTGCTTGCCTTAGAGTCAGAGGACCTCACCAGCTATGGCTAGGGAGTATGGTATAAGACACACAGTCTCCTGCACAAATTGGCCCACTGAGACCACTCACCCTCCAGCAGGGTCTCAAGGGGTTGCTTTTCCTAGAGGAGCATGGTAGCCGTGTCTAAAATAGAGTAGAGAATTCTTGAAGCCAAGTTAGAACCTCTAAAGGACAGCCTGGCCTGGCTTTCTATTGGGTCACCTCAGGGGAAGATGCTCCTGCTCTCAAGACTCAGCCCAGCTCTTGACAGTGATCACTTGGTGATATTTGGCTGCCTTAATTCTTTCAAGCAAAAGGAAAAAACAAGGAGATGGGCTTGGTCTCATTCTTAGTCCTCATGTTGTTACTTTTTCCTGCTATTATCCCAGAGAAGTATAAGGATATGGAATGTTTTTACAATGAACCCAAAAGCCAACTAACCCCTGCGGAATAACAAATCCAAAAAGCCAACAGCTGTGATGCAGTTAGAGAGGACTCAAACCCTCCCTTCCCCCCAATATCTGAGAGAGCTCTTGGAATTCTGTGATTCCCCAAGGGCTGAACCCCAGGGAGCACAAAAAGAGGTTGAGGGCAGATAGAATGAATTAAGTGGGTGAGGAGGTACTTTCAGTTAAGCTTGCTTAAGACAATGATGTGAACATAACCTAGTTGCCCTGCCAACTACCTCAGGGTTTACTGAGTTGTTTAATAAATAGGTATGTTTTATTTTTTTAAAAAATGAAAGAAAGAACATAGATGACTTAGAAGGAGATGTTCCTCTTTGAGAATAGAAGTCCCTGTGAAGAATTCTCAAACTGGGCCAGCCAGTGGCATGGTGGTCAAGGCAGCTGAATCCCACATGGATGACCATGTGGTTCATAGTCCCAGACCTGGCAACTTGAAAAACATGTGCGGCACATGTGCACGCATGCCCAAAAATCCTGAGAGGAGAATAAAGAGAACGTATTGCACTGTGGCCATCCCTCCTGGGGGGATGCTTTCTCATTTTCCCTCTCTCGCTCTGTCTGGTGAGCTCATATGCCCTACAGTAAAAAAATTTTTAAAAAAAGGAGTTCTCAAACTAACGAATCAAACTTCATACAGGAAATCAGCTATAAGGGTAGAAAACTGGTTAACCTGTAGGCTCCCTGTTACCCAGTTGACACTATGCACTTGTGGGGAACTCTGACTTTGGAGGGGAAGGCTACCCTGGCTAGCATTGAAGTTGTCTTGGTGTAAGTCTTTGCCTGGCTTCTCTTGTCATTGGTTGGCAGCTACTTATTCATCTGCAACCTATGCCCATGTCAGGCTGAGGCAGTGACACAGCAGAAACAAGACAGGCAAACAGTAGTGGTATGTGCCCAACAGGATGGCCAGCAATACCCAGGGAACCACGAGTGAAGGGGAGAATGATAACTTCACGTTCAGCTTCAAGATGTTCACCAGCTGGGACTACCTGATTGGGAATTCAGAGACGGCCGACAACAAATATGTCTCCATCACCACCAGCTTCAAGGTAGGTACCCAGAGCAGTTCTCTAGTTATTGGGAGACTTCTCCCAGCTGGGGCTGAGGAAATAAAAACCCAATTCATTTGTGGCAAGAGCTTCACAAGAACTGCAAGCCCAATTCTCTGGCCCTCAAGAAAGAAAGCCCTTGGCTGGTACTCACTGTTTTAGCCTGTCCTCCATTGCTTAATAACTGAATACCATACTGCATAGTCCTAGAGTAGAGGTCTATTTAGCTCATGATTTTGGAGGTCCAAGGTCATGGGGCTCCATCTGGTAAATGCCTTCTTCAAAGAGTCAACATGTGGCTCAGGGCCTCACTTGACAAGAACTTGTGTCTATGTCTCTGTGCCTGCTCAGTCTCTTTTCTTCTTACAAAGCTACCAGAATCCCACAACTGATGACCTTATTTAATCCTAATTACCACCCAAAAGATTCACCTGTTAATATCATAGTTGGATTAAGTCTGTATCCTTTTAATATCATCACTAGAGGAATCAAATCTCAGCACATAAATTCAAACCACAGCATCCACCATCTGTTTCTTAATATGGCAGAGACTCTGGGACCAGCAGATGGTGTATGGTTATGTTGCTGGACTCCCACGTGGTCGACAGCAGTTTGTGTCCCGGTGGTTTAAAACTCATGTCAGGCGTGTGTGCATGCATGACCAAATCCCCAAGAGGAGAATGGAGAAGAGATTACGGTGTGACCATTCCCCCAGGGGGTGATTTCTTACTTTCTGTCTCTCTGGCAAGTGAACACACCTTATAGCAAAAACCTCTCTTTAAAAAATTACATATATGTGTGTGTATATATATGTATATATATATGTATATGTGTATATATACATATATATGTATGTGTGTGTGTGTGTGTGTGTATATAGACACTCACAAACTATGCCCAGCACTCGACAGTGATCACTTGGTGATATTTGGCTGCCTTAATTCTTTCAAGCAAAAGGAAAAAACACGGAGATAGGAGGCTTGGTTTCATTCTTAGCTCTCATGTTGTTACTTTTTCCTGCTATTATCCCAGAGAAGTATAAGGATATGGAATGTTTTCACAATGAACCCAAAAGCCAACTAACCCCTGTGAAATAACAAATCCAAAAAGCCAACAGCTGTGATGCAGTTAGAGAGGGCACAAACCCTCCAACCCCCATATATATATGTATATATATACGTATATATACATGTACATATATATATACATATATATGTATATACATATGTATATACATATATATATATGGCAGAAAATCCTGGATGCTGGGATCTGGTCTTGTATATTTCTTTGTAGGATAACTTTCTGCTAGAAGAAGCTATGGATTCATTTCTCAACCTTTTTTGTATGCTAAAATCACCTAAGGAGTTTTAAAATTCTGCTCCCTCTCCTAGAGGGGATTAACATAATTAATTAATTAATTAACAGAATTAATTAATTATATCTCCTGATATAATTAAGAAACATAGTTTAAAGGTATGAGAATAAAGGAACCAACCCTCTGTTTTTCACAATCCACACTTAATTATCTTCATTTCTTCCCAATAGCGATTTGATGTGGTCTACAGAACTATGGGTCATATAAAATGACAAACATGAGGATGAGCAAATGAATGAAGGCAGAAGCTGTGATGTTGAAGCACTGTACATCATATTTTCCCCCATGACTTTAAAAACCATTCCAGGACCAATTTGTGGTTAAGCTGGCTGGATCCCACAAGGTCAACTCTGCAGTTCAAGTCCCAGAGTCCCAGTCTTGGCAGCTTGAAAACCATACCAGGCATGTGTCCATGTGTGTCCAAAATCCCGAGAGGAGAGGAAAGGATTGCTGTGTGGCCATTCCCCTCGGGGCAGAAGGGGCAGGGTGCTTTCTCACTTTCTTCCTCTCTCTCTCTCTCTCTCTCTTACTCTTTCTTCAGCAAACACACATGCCCTATAGAAAATTCAAACAACAAACAAACAATAACGAACAAAAAATTCCAAGTTTCTGATGGTTCAATATTTCTCCTGTCTGATCATTACTGACTTCCTCTCCCAAGAACCTGGCAGAGATCGGTTGAAGATATTTCGATCAACGGGACTGGGGAGAAATGTTCACATATTGAAATGCTCACATTGTAAGCTAAACAATGCGATTGAATGTATATACAAAAAGAAATAAATTAAATTTCAAAAATTTCAAAAAAATATATAAATAAATTATAAAATAGAAGAAAAAGCAAATAAAAAAATAGTACATTACAAAAAAATTCTATGTGTGTGTGTTGAAAGATTGCTTAACTGCATATTTGTTACAAGGTCCCCTTAGTATCATTGAATTTAAAATTATCATAGAATAAAAAGAAATTATTTGGAAAACTAAAAAAAAAAAAAAAAGAACCTGGCAGAGGGCAGATGT